CGCGTATAAGGGTAATTATAGTTAAGGGTAACTATAATCTATACACCCTTATATAGTTAAGGGTAACCTATATAAGTATACCCTTGTATAGTTAACGGTAACTATAATCTGGATAATACTTCCCACCTTTGCTTTTCAGAGCAGAGGCTGGTTATTATCTGATCCTTTCCACTAGTTACTTCCTTTGCAGTCATAGACATTAATGGCTGACACAGAAGGCAGCTACACAAACTGCTGCTAACGTAGTTGCTAGCGGCTGAAGCAATGTGATCTAAAATTGCAGTCTGCTGGATGGGCGGTCAGGAGATGTGGCTTCTAGTCCTGACTCTACCATGTGATCTGGGGTGAGCCACCTCCTCTCTGTACGCCTGTATAGCTCTTCTTCCTCTGAATTTGACTTGACTGCTTTGACTGTAAGGCCTTTGGGACGCAGAGCATAATGCATGCAAAACAGCAACATTGGGCCTGGCGTTTAGCTAGGCTACAGCAGGGTCAATTATTTTAGCAAATTATAAATGAAATGGAAAAATGCGGTTTTGATGGGAATGAAGCCATTTGTGAAGTGGGGTCAAGTTCAGCCATTAATTTCAACCCCCCAAATTTAAAAAAATCAATAAAAAAAGCAGGATGGTCAGGAAGTTTAACACTAAGGTCTTTGAAACGACATGCTCAAGCTTTTCCTTTTGAAATAACATTTCAGTTTCATTCCATTTTAAACGACGGTAAAAAGGATCATTATCACCTTAAATTGAAAAAATAATGTTTTGTGCCACCTTAGTATGCATTTTCTGCTTTTTTGCTTTACTGAAACAAACAAACAGAAGACATTTATTTCAGGTTGGTCAAAAATGAAACTGTTTTGGGGGTTTTGGGGGGGTTTTTTTTGGTTTGGCCACAGAACCAAAACCAACCATTATTTGAACAGTTGTCCTCTAGATGCTATTACAACACACATAATAACAGCAGGGAGAAGCAGCTGCACTGAAAGGCAGGAAGAAAGTCGCCTGCTACTGCACATGGTTTGAGAAATGATCCATAAACTGTAACCGTACTTTCAATTTGTAAGTAAAATGTTTTTATATGCATGGGTTGAATTTCTAGAATAAATGATGGGGCAGAGATAAAACCTCAATGCTATTTTAAACTCTCCCTCTTGCATTAAGTAAAGTCACAGATAATGGATTATCTCTTGGAAGCTGGAGCTCAGTTTTAGTTATCAGAAAAAAAGATTTTTTATTTTTTTTTAGAAAGAAAAGAAAATTGAAGCTGAATAAAAGACACTTGGGGCACAATTGTGATCTCTCTTACACCAGCTTTCATACTGAGTATTTCCAATGACTTCAAAAGGCCTCTTCCTCCATTATACAGGTGTAAATGAGATAGGGATTCGGCCAGTGGAGTGCAGTGAAAGATCAATGAAATACAGTCTGGGGGAGAAACAAAGGCTTTGAAGCCATCGGTAAGGACCGATATCCATCACAAAAACACCCAGATCAGGAAATTGAATCTTGAAATGCAAACAAATGGATTTCAGAGCGGTGTCAGACATGATGCATCGAGGTTCTCTTGCGTTCTCTTCCAAGCTGAGAAATGCTTTTTCTGGCCCTGGTTTGCTGCCAAATTAGTCAAACTCCCTCCACAGTAAGAACTGTCTTTCTTTGGGTGTCTTGGTGTGTTAAAGCAGTTTGCTCCTTTCTCGAGAGAACCCTTGTCAGAAATAGCTATACTTAATTGAAAATGAAAATGTGAACGCTATACATTACAGTGCAAGTGAATGGAACGGATGTCAGCTCTTCGGTGGGGGGGGCTTGGACACTGCCCACGCTGGCTGCTCGGGGAGCTCCTGTACGCCCGACCCGAACCCACCCCAGCCAAGCATAGGGTTGGAAGAGACCTCGAGTCACATCTAGTCCAACCCCCTGCTCAAAGCAGGACCAGCCCCAACTACATCCTCCCAGCCAAGGTTTTGTCGAGCCAGGTCTTAAAAACCTCCAAGGATGGAGAGTCCACAACTTCTCTGGGTGGCCTGTTGCAGTGCTTTACTGCCTTCCTAGTTGGAAAATTGTTCCTAATATCCCCTTCTCCAGGTAAGTCTGTGGGGGAAGCACAGTGGCGGAAGCCCCGCCATGTTCCCACCACCCAGCCTGGCTTGGGCCTCATTCACCATTGCCCCTGCTCCCTCCTTCACAGCGGGGGCCTCGATCTGCCCCTCCCTCCCCCCCAGCTCCTTCCCATTCACAGAATGGATTGGTACTTGCCTGCCGTGCTGGGCAGCCAGTGATGTACACTTCGAGCTGGGATCCTGGCTGCATGCATGCCTCTCCCCACCTTTGCTGCAGCCACCTGGAGCCCATGGCTGCGCTGCCTTGCAGCCCTACCCTCTGCCCTGCATTTGTGGGGGCTGAGCCCCGTTAGGCCCTGCCTTCCACCCCCTATGCTAATACCTAACCTAAACTTCCCTTGCTGCAGCTTAGGACCATTGCTCCTTGTTCTGTCATCTGCCACCACTGAGAGCAGTCTTGTTCTATTTTCTTTTGAACCCCCCTTCAGGTACTTGAAGGTTGCTATTAAATCCCCATCAGTCTTCTCTTCTCCAGACTAAATCAGCCCAGTTCCCTCAGCCTCTCCTCACAAGTCATGTCCCCCAGCTCCTGAACCATGTTCATTGTCCTCCGCTGGATTCTCTCCAGTTTGCCCACATTCTTTCTGTAGTGGGGGACCCAAAACTAGATACTACTCCAGATGTGTCCTCATCAGTGCTGAATAGAAGGGAATAATCACTTCCCTTGATCTGCTGGCAACGCTCTCCCCAATGCAGCCCAGTATGCCATTAGCCTTCATGGCAACAAGGGCACACTGCTGGCTCATATTCAGCTTATTGTCATCTGTCACCCCCAGGTCCTTTTCTGCAGAGCTGCTGCCCAGTGAGTCAGCCCCCAGCCCGTATCAGTGCATGGCATTGTTTTGTCCTAAGTGCAGGACTTTGCACTTGTCCTTGTTGACCCTCATGAGATTTCTTTTGGCTCAGTTCTCCAATTTGTTGAGGTCACTCCGATTCCTAGCCCTACCCTCCAGTGTATCTACCCCCCGCCAGCTTGGTGTCACCTGCAAACTTGCTGAAGGTACACTCAGTGCCATCTTCCAGGTTGCTGATGAAGACATTGAACAAAACCGGCCCCAGGACCAAGCCCTGGGGCACTCCGCATGATACCGGCTACCACCTAGACATCGCGTTGTTGATTACTACCCTCTGAGCCCAACACTCCAGCCAGTTTTCTATCCACCTTACAGTCTATTCATCCAGCCCGTACTTCCTTAGCTAGCCTGCAAGAATGTTGTGGGAGCCTGTATCAAAAGCCTTGCTAACTGGCTAACTAAAAGCAGTGCATTGCTGCATGGCCCAGGCTGCTGCAGGTGGATAGACCCCAGAGTCTTTCCACCACAGCTCCCCTGGCTGGGCTGATGCGCAATGCAGGGCCGGCTGCAGGGACCAAAACCCCCTCTCTTCCTTCCCCACCTCCCTGGCAAGGCTGCGCACCAGGCTGGAATCACAGGCTGACTAGGGCCAGTGACAGTCGAGGGGGCGGCTCTGGCCTGGTACTTGGGCAGACCAAACAAGCTCTGCCTGAGGCTACAGCATGTGCAATGTCACCTAGGATGGCAGCAATCACCCTCAAAGTTACCCTTTGATGGGATCTGGCACACACGTTCAATACAGCGCTCTACAGAAAGCGCTTTAGGTTAGTAGCCATCCATCCAGGGTTAATCCAGAGCATGATCCACCATTTTTTAAAAGCTGTGAATGTCTTTGCAGTTATAGCTTTAGAGCCCTTACTGCCAGCTTAATGTGCAATATGTGTAATGTCTGTACCTGGCTAGGCTCTCCATCTTGGGTGGGCTTATGAGACCCTACCTGGCACTCCTCTAATGGCATCCGTTTTACGTTTGTGGGGAGCCTCTGGTGCATTCAGAGCAGAAGTAAATGCACAGGGCTTGTTTTCACGGTCCTGGTATGGCCCGCGTGGGTAGAGACATGCCTGCATGGGCCAGATTTTGCTCTGTCTTGAGCTGATGCAAACCGAAGAAGGGCAGGAATAAAAGGAAGCATACTTGACTGAACTGAGCTTGCGGCCACCTTGGTGTCTCTGGGCAGAAATGAGAGCAGCTTTAGGCTAATGAATCTTCAGCTCTGTGGGCAACAAGGAACAGGCGAAGTGCAGCGAGCTCTAGCTACTCCCATCTCTGCCCTGTTGTGTTCCCTGCATGGCCCAAAGTGCCTCTGCATTTGGGGGACCTGGCTCTACTCTCTCAATGGGAGCTGAAGACTAGTTTGGGCCCACTGCTGCCAGTTATTTATACTAAAGTACGTGAAAGTACAGCTGCTATTCATGTATGTTTGGACTGACTGGCCGGAGATGTATTTAGCACCCAGGTATCTAATGACTGGATGTAAGCCCCACTTCACTAAGCACTTACAAAAGTTGTAGCCCATTCTGAGTCTAAAAATACTTTCCAGCACACTTTTGATGATAAGTGCATGCTTCTCTTATTGAAGACAGCGTTGTGCTGGATGGATTCTGCCAAATATCTCAAGTCTTCTGAGTTTTGTGACGCTCCCAGACATGGTGTCATTTCAGTCCCCTGATTTGGTGGCCTTTATAAACTGCTCTTGCTTCTGCTTGAAACGAGTTTCATCTAATCACAGCATAAATTGCATTTGTCACTTAACCCCCTGCTGAGCGCAAGCGGTGCCTTCTACAAACATGATTAACACTGCAGCTATACTAATGACCAAATACAGGCAACCACAGGGCATGAACAAACCAAACCAAGATCTAATTTCTAACCCGAGCAGCTGTTTGTAAACAGGAGTTTGTATTTTTCACACCACTCATCAATCGATCAATAATGGTTTTATCGCCTTAAAAACGATGCAAACGTTGGATCAAATGACACTCGCAGCAACCTCGGGGAGGTCAGGAGGCTGAAGTCACACTTACCTCGGGTGCAATATAATCAGGGGTTCCACAAAAAGTGCTCGTCTTGGAGTCTCCAAACATGTTCTCTTTACACATCCCGAAGTCAGCAATTTTGATGTGTCCTTCCTTGTCCAAGAGAACATTATCCAGCTTCAGGTCTCTGCAAAATCAGAACCAAGTCAAGCTCTCCTTTGTAAGTGTTCTCCAGCTGCATAAACTAACACATAACAGTGTACTTCTCTGTGCATCTGCCTTCATAACGTTTCCAGGGA